GCAATATCTTTGCCGGCTGGCGATGTTGAGCCGGGGGAATCTGCCGGGCGTTGTCTTTTCGACGACGGCATCTCAGGTTTGTCCGGGGAAGCTGCACACGGGGTCTTCTTCATCACGAGATCCTGAAAGCACTGATCAATATAATCTTGGAGAGTCTCTAAACTCTCCCCGTTGTTCTCCAGGGTGTTGGAGATTATTTACACAAATATTGTTAGTTATAAGACAGTTGATAAGTGTATTTGGTAATACTGAAGCTTAAATGAATTTGTTCAAATCTAAACTACCATTTGCTTTAATTTTCCGCCAAAATCTCCGGCGTCTGACGTCAGTTACCACATGAGTCACTTACCTCTCCCTTCCGTCCTCTTACCTTGTCGCTCCTTTGTTTATTGTGCATAAATAGTGAATTGTCCTGACACAATATTGCGTTTCGCTTCTGTTATTATGGTACATTGACAAAAACATATACTTTTATTCACAGAATAAAACAGTTGTTTTGTATCACCAATTGTCCAGTGCGATTACAGCATACAATATTATTGTCACTGCTACATTTCTGTGATGCTACCAGATATTATTTCCACTGCTAATTAATTACCGTTAAGCTCAAAGGTTATATTAATAAACGGTTAACGAATGTGTATTTATGACGACAATTTGTGAGACTGGTAAACTTATGATACGTACGATGGTCTTTGGTTCTACACGGTGCATTTCAAGGTCCTGCACCTGTCCGTCGGTAAACTGTACCTGGGCTTGTTGCAGTGACCTGAAGTTACTAAACTAAACGAGTGTATGCACTCACTCCAAGAACCATATAATTATAAATATGAGCATGGTGAAAGTTGGGCAGCACGCTAACGTCTTTTGTCCACTCTGTGTGCTCGTAAGGGTCTGACCCTTTCACTCCTTTGATTTTTTCCTCGTATCTTTTCTTTGTCTTTTCGTCGAGTCTGTCTTTGTACGGACCGGCATTGTTCTCCTTTTGTTTTGTACATACCTTTTTGGGGGGCAAAGAAAAAGCAAGAAGGTATTGGAACCGGAGAATGAACGTTTTGCGGTGCTGCAAATGCTTGCATTTGATGCGGTACTTGACATCGGAGAGACCAAACAGCCACTTCACAAGCGCATGGCACAACATAGAAGAGCCACCTCCACAGGACAAGACTCAGCAGTCCATCTGCATCTTAAGGAAAAGGCACTCTTTCGAGGATGCCAATGTTCACATTTTGGACAGAGAGGACAGATGGTTTGAAAGAGGAGTGAAAGAAGCCATCTATGTCCACTGTGAGCGACCATCTTTGAACAGAGGCGGTGGTTTACGACACCAACTCTCTGCCATCTATAATCCAGTTTTGAGATCCCTTCCCAGACGCCTTAACGCCCACTCACATCCTGGGCCATCTGACCTCAGGAATTCGCATGATAAGGTGGGGCCAGGTTTCACAATGACTCACCCGAAACTCTGGCTGATTGGGACCCACACCCAGTTTCACACCTTGGCTCAGGCGATTAGAGGATCATCAGGGGGTCCTTTTGTCCCTCTGTGGGGGGACTCCCACTAGGTTTATATCTGGGACTCTCCACCATTTGACCTTAGAACTGAAGAAGCTTCTCGGATGAGAGGTGAAACGTCTTCAAGCAACTTAAAGAAGTCCAGACGCTTTTCTTTGCAAGCTCCTTTGACTACGATGACCTGGATGACTGAGAACCTTCACAGGTACTTGGATTGTTTTGCCACGAGTTCCCGGCATGCAATGCATGAAAATCACGTGATTGCTAAACAAGGGGGAGGGTGCATCCGGCCTCCTCGGCTGTAATTGGTCCAGCCCAGAGTCGATCATGACCAATTGGCCAATCCAACACCTTTCATTATATATACCCTTCCAATAAAAAAAAAAAAATCCATCGGCCCATAAAAACAAAAAATCGCCAGCGGCCCACCGGGCAAATGCCCGGTATGCCCGATGGCCAGTCCAGCTATGATAGCTGTGTAAATGCACTTTACACTCCTGGCATGCAACGTGTGACAGCTCATCATTAATGCAGAGCTGGCTCCCTCTAGTGTTCATTACTCATGCCAAAATCAACACCGCAGGTCACACAGTCTTCATGGTGCTTTACTGTTTCTCTGGAAACCAACAACCAAGTTTCTGGCAGTAACCAGACACAATCAAAGCATCACATAAAGCACTTTGGAAGCTTATTGTTTTACTGGTTTACAGCATTGAATCAAAGGTAAGTTCTTGGTTCTTATAAACACAGATCAAAGGAAAATATCTCTCATCAAATTTTTCACTAACATAGGCTAAACATTAATGATCAGTCAGTCGGTTCTAAGGTCACTCTGGTGTGCAATACTTGTTCAATTCAATTCAGTTTTATTTACTCAGCACCAAATCACAACAACAGTCGCCTCAATGCTCTTATTAATGTAAGGCAGACCCTACAATAATACAGAGAAAAGCCCAACAATCATATGACCCCTATGAGTAAGCACTTTGGCGACAGTGGGAAGGAAAAACTCCCTTTCAACAGGAAGAAACTTCCGGCAGAACCAGGCTCAGGGAGGGTGGGCATCTGTTGCGACCGGGTGGGGTGAGAGAAGGAAGACAGGATAAGACATGCTGTGGAAGCTCCAACATGATCAGTTTAGTTTCTGTAGTGATGGAAGAGCCAGTCTGACACATGAACTGAAATCAGCTGATCATAGTGACAGTGCAAGAACCAGTTAACAGGATCGATAGGCAGGCAGACTAGTGATTCCAAGAAATCGTTAGTACTGGATCCAATTCCCATCGCTACGGTTGACTGTAGTTTCCATGGAAAATTCTCTGTAAACACTTTCCATTTAGTTTCCGAGTAAGGGCACTAAAACCGTAAACACAGAAGATTCCTTTCAGAGTAAAAGCTGCATCGTTTAAATGTATTGGTTGCAATGGTAAGGCAAAGCTTTTACTGTGAAGGTGAACACTACCAGTTTCTGGTTTCTGTCACACTCTTCACAATTTCACAACTGCTCAAAGAGGAGTTATCAAGTGTTTTTTAGAGACCTGCTAGTAACCAAAGCACTACATCAGTTTCAAACTAACGACTTCCGGAGCCCATTTGAAGCCAGTCAGGAAACACATTTTTACATGGCAACCAGTGGTCGCCAGATGATCTCTGACGAGTCTCTAGGGTTGGGCGACTGAGGTGTTAGAAAATAAGGTAACTTGAGGGATACGTTTTGTCATAGGAGCAGTAACCTTTCCTCTTTGTGTCCTAAAGAGAAGTGTAACCCACATAAAATGAGGGTACCACTTTAAGGACTGATATGAGGAGAGATGGACAGCCTGCCCAACCAATCGAAATGCACAGGTCCCAGTATGTTTTGACCAAAGGGAGAGCAGTCTGCTGCGGTATGTCCCACCTACGTGCTCTGTGTTTGCTGCTATGTGTGGAGGTAGTCGCGTGCTGGCAGGAGAAAAGAGAGACTGAAGCATTTGAGCTGGAAAAAAGTATTAGATATAAGTTGCAACCAACTGTGTTGCACATAAGTTCACTGGTTATCAGCTACCTTTCATGTTAGAAGTAGCCGCAGTGAGTAAACAGGCAAATGCTGCATTTTTCTGGTGACTTTAGAAAGTACCGCATGGAGCTAAACTGTTAGCCTTTGTTAGCTCTGGTTGCTATCAACTGCCTGGAAGTTCATCTCAATCTGCTTCCAGAAGTAAGGTAACACTTGAAGCACAACTTATGTTTATTTTTCTTCATGTCGTATTACGGTTATTAAAGAGAAAACAACATGTCCTGTTACGTTATTTAGAGCCCTGCATTTTCCGACCGAGAGACACCATGCCATTGTCTTCGGCCGTGATGCGCTGAGATCGGTGAGCACATGTTGTATGTCTCAGTTAGTTCACGTCTGTTTCACATTTTATTGTTGAGAAACTGAATTAATCTCAATTGTTTGATTAATAATTGTCGACTATGCGACATATATGCATATGCACTGACTTTACTTGGTTTAATGCATAGTTTGTGTAAGAGAAATGTTTTATTTTTGCAAAATTGAGTATTTTTATTGCAAATTTATGTTGAATGTGATTTAAACAAAATCCTAAGTTGTGAATTATAGCTAGAACAGCATAATTAATATTTGAATTGCTCTTCTGACCCTGTCTGTTGACAGGTCAGGTTTTTTTTTGTATGCTGAATTGTTCCTGAGGTGGATTCCTCCGGTGAAATAGATGGCGAGCCTTCCCACCTGGACTTAGAGAGACTGAGATTCGCTTCTTTTCCACTTGATGATCTGCTGCACCTTGCGGTGTGGTAGGACTGTATCACTCACACTTTCACGCACAGCTGGTTATACATAAGACCACTGACTGACATTCTCTCATCCCTATTTTCTTTCACACCCTGGGAATTTTTTGGACTTTACCCCTTGGACATTTTTTATTTGGGACTTTAAATAATGAGCTGTTGTGTAGAGCATTCTCCACATGTGAAAAGAGTGTGAGATTTTCATTTGAATGTACATTGGATTTGTGTAATCTGTTTCTATAAGAGTTAAGGAGTCAGGTTACTAGGGTGCACCCGAGCATTGAAACCCGAACATTGAAAACCAAAAATAACACTTGGCCAAGTCATTGCTTTAGTAGTTTGTGTTTTACTTTTCTTTTAATTTTTGTAAGTTTTCTTTCTACCATTGTAAAGTGTCGTTAACCTGTGCTTGTCAACCTTATGGTTTATGTCACTAAAGTTGGCTGTTTCTTTTGAGTTACATTCTTGTCTCTGTGTCTCATTTGAACACACCCCTGTGCTCCTATAGTCGAGCCTATTGGCCCATTGATCTATTCTTTTCAACAATTCCCCTTACTGTGTTACAGAAGCAGGAATGACTGGCCAGTAGTCTGTGTAATGAACAGACCACGAAGGTACAACAGTGCCTTAGAGGAGTGGTTTTCAAATATGAAGGGATTCAAATCTCATAGAAAAAATAATTTTTTGCCAAATTTTTCCTTTTCTGTGTGGATAATACGTAGGGCTTGCATGATTTTTAAAAAAAAAAGAGAGGCCTCAGTCTGCAGAGATGCAGTTGAATAATAAAGTATGAATAGTTTGAGCAAGGGGGAAAATCATGTGAAACTATGGCTCATGTGAAACTGGGGATAGACAACATAGGAAGAGAGGCGCCAGAATGTGTCCATATGTATCTGCACTGTGACCGCTTTCTGACCTGGCCTTAAGCAGGAAACAGGGAAATAAACAGGACAATGTGACATTTTTCATTTCTGAGAATAGCAGGAGGAATGTGGAGCCAGGATATATGTAGGTAAGAGACAAGACAGCTGCACATACCAATGGTCATAGGATAGTGTGTATGGATTCAGTGATATAGTCACATGTGGGGGTCAGGTCAAAGGTGTTCTAAATGTATTGTGGGCTTAGAGTATAAATGTAACAGACTGAAGGAGCGTCCTTCAGATCTGCAGGAGCACTGTGCACATCTCCCCATGTGCATGTGTAAATAAGGAGGAACATGGGAAGTGAAGTATTCTGTCTCGTGTCTTACCAGGTCAGAATCAAAGGATCGGGAGCAACAGCTGGTCGCAACAGTCTGTTTAACCACGTACAACCTTTTGATTTTGCACCTAAACAAATAAAAGAACGGGTGCTATTGTATACCTTTTACAGGTTTTGAACAAGTATGTGCCTCTTTGGTCCTCAGAAGGTACAAATCAATTCAGTTCAGAATCAGAAACCTTTATTGTCATTGAGCATCAGCTGTTAGAAGCAGCTCTTGGTAGCAGCATTTATAATACATAACAATAAAACCAATAAATAGGTAACAATAAAAACAAATTTAAAGAATACAAACTATCTAATCAATAAATTCAATTTTATTTATATGGAGCCAAATCAGAACAGCTGCCTCAAGGCCCAGTACATTGTAAGGTAAAGACCCTACAGTAATAAGAGAACCCCAACAATCAGACAACCCCCTTTGAATAACAATGGAAATAAAAAAACTCCCTTTTAACAGGAAGAAACCTCCAGCAGAACCAGGCTCAAAGAGGGGCAATCATCTGTCACAATCTGTTGGGGTGAGGATAGGAAGACAGCTCAAAGACATGCTGTGAAAGAGAGCCAGTGACTGGCTCATGTGACTGAAGCAAAACCCAGCCCTAACCCTAGCCGAAGACGATAATGAAGTTGATTAACTATGTTGTAGTTCAGGGGTGGGCAATTCCAGGCCCCGAGGGCCAGTGTCATGCAGGTTTTAGATCTCACCTTGGGTCAACACACCTGAATCACATGATTAGTTTGTTACCAGGCCTCTGGAGAACTTCAGGAGCTAATTTAGCCATTTAAATCAGCTGTGTTGGTTCAAGGACACATCTAAAACCTGCAGGGACACCGGCGCTCGAGGCCTGGAGTTGCCCACCCCTGTTGTAGTTAATGATGGCTAAAGTTCCTGTGTAAAGTTTAAATGTGTTCACACATCTAGCAGCTATGCAGATGTCTTGGTAGTAATAAAATGTATGTGGACACACAGGAAATGGGACTGTGTGGTTACTCCTCTGTGGGTAAAGTGGGGCATGGCGGGGTTTCTGCAGAAGCCTATTGTAGTCATCTTTGGAAGATGGAGAGAAGGTACAACACATCAGGTCCTGGCTACCAACAGGCTCTAGTGGTCAGAAATTATCATGCAGTTCAGGAACATCCATGACCTCGCTGTAGTGACTTTGACCAAAGTGATGATGATCAAACACATGTTCATTCTGAAAAACAGAGAAAATGACCTCATGATAATGCAATATACAAGGAAACTAATAAAGAACTGAGTAGTACAGTTGTGTGGAGTATAGAGGTAGCATTAAGCAGCCAGACAGAAAGTAATTTATTGCACTCCTCGTTGCGTCCATAAACTGACCTGAAACACACAAGAAATATCAGCTAACAAAAGAAACAACAGTTCCCCGACAGATATCCTGATTCTCTTACAGATATGTCAATATGGGGTCACTAAAATTAATATTTAATCGGTGCGTGACGTTGCCTAAACAATGCTGGATTCTGTAGTTTGTGGTTCCCTCCCAAATCGGACCACAACTGACATGTTTAGCCGAATGCTCTCTTTGTGCTTGATGCTGTTGGGTGATAGAATGCATGAAAATAAATGCCAAACAAAGATTTGGAGACAAAAGAGGCAAATGTGCACTGCTTACCACACCCGGTGTCTGTAGCAGAGGATTGTGCAGATGGACAGAATAATAAAAACTGCTCCCAGGGCTATCAAGGTCAGCACTGTCAAGTAAGCTGGTGAAAATAATGAAACGCATCGAGTAAATCAAAGAAAATGATACAGTTGACAGTCTAATTAAAGAAAATAGTCTTCAAGATGAAAAAAGTAACCTACTCGATGGATTCAAGGTAACGGTGTTGGATGAAACTGCTGTTTGTGCGTTTACCATGAAGGTGTACGAACTGATGTTCAGGTTCTTTTCAATCAGGCTGGTAGCTCCAAGAGCGACTGTATCAAGACAGAGTGACCACCAATATTACAACATAAACACATCTTTATGATCTTCAGGCAACCAGCTAATCTTTCTGTGTAGAGAAACAAAATCAGGAGTCAAACCTTGCAGATTAAATATTTTTCTTCTAGAAATGTTCATAATCAATCAAAAGATAGATTGCTGTGTTTTTATGACTCCAGTGGGACCATGATTTACAAAATGAGCACCACATTTACTTCAGTAAGAGACTTTAATCAATCAACTGAGACCAAAAGCTCATCAGGTAAATGTTTACTGAAGTCACATCAGTTGAGAAGCAGCAACTTTTTCTTACTTTCATATGACCTGACTTTACTCAGACTGTATAAAAGATTTGACTCATCTGTATCTCATCATGCAGTTTTATTTAAAACCCTATGATTTTTAAAGAAAATACTTACCATCACCCTTCGTGCAGATTTTGACACTTTTGCTCCAGTCACCCCATTTCCAGAAATGCTGTGATGTTCCACATCGGACCCTCACAACATAGTTCCAGTGTGGTATCAAGTCCTTGATGACTGCAGCTGTGAGGTCAACTCCAAAGTTTTCAGTCTGGAAACATTGCAAAGAAAGGAATTATGTTAGCTGACTTCAGTGGAGACTTTTACTTTGAAAAGCCAATACCATAGCCTCCTTTTTAATCTACTCACTTTGGTATTAGAGTTTCCATCACTGACATGTACTTGGCATGTGATGTTGAGATTACTGTACTTCTGCACAGTCCAGCTCCATTTCAGACTGATGTTTCTGGGGTTCACAGTTGAAGCTGCCACTTTGTCTGGAGCAACCATGTGCACTAAAACAAGAGATCACAACAATCAGCTGATCTTAAAGATTAAAAATAATCATTTTAACCAAATTTTATTCAAAGCTTTACCTCTTTTGGTCAGGTCCGCGTTGTCATGGATCTCGAGCTTTCCCAGCCGATTAGTTGCTGTTAAGGTCCAGTTCCTCTCAGCTGCATCCACCTTCACTTTTTGCGAGCATTTACCTGAACGTCCATTGATGCATGAGCTAAAATGTAAAAAATATACACCGCTATTACTAAATATTTACAACTAAATAAATACAGAGGCTAGCAGGACTGCACATCACTAGGAAGCAAAGTAAGAGTACATTTTAAATTTGTCATTGACTGAACTCCTTATTGCTTAATCAATAATGTTTGGTGCTTTAAAGTTTAGTCTATAGATCCCAAAATGTTTTTGCTTTGATGGTCTTTTAAATCAGAGCATTTCTCTCAACTGCTTGAAACTACTTTTATAAATATTCAGGTTTTTGGGTTTTTTAAGAACTCTGGTGACAAGGTGTAATGTGTGCAGTTTTCACTGCAAATCATATAAAGTGAAATTAAAGAAGAATAGCCCTGAAAACAACGGCACTGTGATTTCATCAAGGACGTTCTCTTTGTAAACTCACTTTGACTTTTGACCTATATGGCATTACATACTGTGAGAAGCATTACTACTGTTTATCCCATAATTAATTAATTTGTTTTTTGGACTATGTTTATTCTGGGCACTTTATTTTAGTTTTCAAATAATGTGTTAACCATCTCTGCGTGTGTGTGTGGCTTATGCTTGGATATGCATGGATTTTACAAAGGAGAGTGGCGCACTTTAAAAGGGAATGTTTTGACAAGGCCTGATATGTTGTAGATTTTTTAGGTCAGAGTAAGCTAACTCTAACTAAAAGTAGTAAACAGGGCAGCCTGTCTGTCTGTGATTGCATTGGAAGCACTTTGCTTCCTGAGTACTATTTTTTGAGTTTGGTTTTTTTTTTTCAATAAACCATCCTGCAACTGAAGTTGCATAGCAAGTGCTCATTTTTGTAACTTCTGACTACAGATCATCGAGATCATCTAAAAGTACTGTTCATCAACTTTTTGTTCTTCTAAATTTGAAACGGTCTGCAGTGATTCTTAACAAGGTGTCCAGTAAGTGCACACCTTGTTAATAAGATTCACACCCTCAGATGCTTCCATACAGGAGACTGTAGATATATTAGGGGTGGTTGGGTCTTATTATACCTTCCTTGGAGCTGATATGTTCTTTCCATTGCAGGATGTTCGTTTGCTGCCCTTCCTACATTCCAAAAACAATCGATTGATTCCAGATCCCGGGTTTCACACTTAAGATCACTGTCATCAGGAGGATCTAAGTTTGTGGCAAATACCAGGAAAAACAGAAGTACATTTAAAAGAGAACCATTTATTTACAAGATCAATTTGAGAAACCACAATCTCAAATGCTACATCATACTTACAGCTGGCGTGAAAACTGGCTCCGTTGATGTTTCCTTTGGTTGTTTCACATATTACATCACTATAGTTTTCTGATTCTTGGTCCAGGTGAACAGTCAGGGAGTGCACATGTTCACTGATCTTTGTAGTCGTTACATTAGTGCCTTTGTAGTTGTGTAGAAACATTGTTTTAATACTTTCCCCATCTGGCACCATGCAGCAGAATGTGGCTGTGCTGCCCACCTCCAATATTTGGTCTCTTGGGAGAACCAGTATTTCATCCTGGTCTGAAGAAGCACAGTGATAAGAATAAACGAGACTGTAAAGTGTTTAAGAATCAAAAAAGATCAAATGATTTGAACTTAATATTAACCAGGTAGCGTCTTCTGCATCCATGGGCTTGATTGGTTGTTGTATTGGGACCTGAGCCGGACTGAATGGCGAGCACACTGCGATGGTAAA